AAGAAGGTAAACCAGTTCAAACTCTTCACAAAGTTCAAGACAAATGTCAATTTCTTATCTCTTGTGACATTAGAGGTGAAAGATTCTTCAATATTCTTTGTGATTCTAGAGCTTGCATTAACATGATGTCCAAAGCTACTGCTTTGAGACTTGGCATTAAGCACATTTTGAGTACCAGGACAAAAATTAGCTTAGCAGATGATTCAAGTACAATACCAAGAGGGATAACCCGAGATAGTCCTCTAAGTATTGGAGATTGCATAACACCTGTCGATTTATACATATTGAAGACCAAAGATGACTCATATCCAGTTATCCTTGGATGGCCTTTCTTAGCAACTGGTGGAGCCATCATGGATTTGGCGCAACCGGAGAGTTTCTTTTGCAAATATCGACAAGAATATCTTCTATGAAGCTACACCACTTAATAACAAAAGAGAAGAGCATAAAGCCCAAACATTTGAACCGGAAGAACTCTGGAGTGATGAAGAACAACAAGAGAGAACAAGAGGGTTTCGAGAAGGACTTGTCTTAGGACAAGATCTTATTTGAACTAAGTCCTTTTTCTTTGCAAAGTCTAGCTAAAGACTATAAACCAAAGTTCTTGATAGGAGGCAACCCATTTAGGTACTTATTTTTTTTTTTTTAGCTTTTTTTTCTATTAAAGTTTTGTTTTTTTTTATCTTATACAGACCTTAGTATGCATCTAAAAAAAAAGAAAAAGAAGAAAGGATCTGACTGCGGTCGAGGAGCCTTCAGCCGCAGCCAGCAAGCATTTTGCCGCGGCCACGAAGCCTTGACCCGCGGCCAGCACGAGTCCAACCGCGGCCGCGACATCCTGACCTGCGGCCAGCACCAGTTCGGCCACCCTTGGCCACTTCCACATCTACCTTGATTCTAATCAATCCCCATTTGATCAAGCACTACTCCACATCATCCACCATCCACCATTCAACATCCTACCACCTCCACAATCACCTCACAATCCATCACCAACATCAGGTAAGTTTTCTTTTTTTTCATCTTTTTAAATTTCACATACTCTATTTCTCATCTTTTCCTGATTTATATTACACTGGGGGCAGTGTGATTTAAATTTGAGGGAGGATTTCATTCCTTTCTAACCACCTTTTCTTGCATGAGCCCTTGCATTCTGCATTTTTCCTTAGCTTGTACTTCACCCTTAACCCAAACATCAATTCAAACATGATCTCACCACAGTTCCTCATGTCTGTCGACATATATGTGCAAAAACGCCAGAGAGGGAGGAACAACATAGTTTTCAGTCAGTCAAGAGAATGACTGAGTGAAACTGGGAAGGAAGTGTACCATGCAATCTCAGCAAGCCTCATGATGTCTCAAAAAGCTCAATCTTAAAGGTAATTTTCGTGCTCTCTAAGACCCTAAGTCAAAAGGCGGTTTCCCCTTTCCAAAAAAAAAACGAAAAAAAATAAAAGAAAAGAAACCAAGAGCCTAAAGAGTCTTAGAAGCCGAAATCATTTGAGCCAAGCAATAGGTATTCACCTAAGGAGTTATGGATTGACAACCTAGACAAAAATCCAAGTATGGGGGAGTTATAATGAGAACTTGAAGAAGGATATCAGAAATCTTGAAGCAAGGAGAATGTGACTGAAACCTGTGGAGACATTGACAGTTCTATCCTCTATTGCTGTTTTGCATAATGTCCTGTTTTTCCAGAAAAAGGTAACCCTAAACACATCAAACCTTACCATTAAAAAGCCTTTTGATACCTAACCTTGAATGCCTTTTTTAATATCCTTTTGATGAGAATCACTGAAACCTTTAATGAATGTTAAGAGCTAGTTGACTGGAAGTTAGTTCTAAGTGTGTGGATTTTTGCATGACAGATTAACGGTAGTTATGTTTGTATTTTGGTGAGAATTTTATGGACTTGATCTGATTGATACATTGTCCATAATTAAGGTCTACAAGTATGGTTGCTGATATTTTTGAGTTCCCTTTCATTTCTGTTGAATGATATTTTTCCAAATGGGATCTTGTTTTGTTTGAGGACAAACAAAGTCTTAAGTCTGGGGGAGTTGATAACACCGTATTTGTACCCATTTTCACCATTGATTTCAAATGCTTTTCTAAAGGTTTTAATCAGTTTTAGGAAATTTTATTATGATTTCCATGTATTTGTAGTTTCAAGGCTCTTTTCAGGAAACTTAGGAAAAATGATGACAAAATGGAAGAAATCCACTTTTTCAGCTCAAAGTCAAATTATCAGAAGTTCAGCCTTAAATGAAGATTTTCTCACCGTCTGATCCAGCTCAAATTTGGAGACAATCAAGAAAAGACAACCAGCTTTCTATAAAACTTTACATCACGAAGATCCAACGGTGCAATCAAAAAGATACATGGAGAACAAGTTGACTCAATTCACCGGCCACAGAAGACTCTCACCCGTGGAAAACCTACATTTTACCTGCTCAGGAAGACTTTCACCCCCGGTGGACCTAAGGACGAGCCACAAGGCCCAACATCAAAGCCCACTTCACCATTCCTCTTCACAAAAGCCCTAAATGAGACCTGGAAGATCCTAGGACCTATAAATACATTTCTTAGCAGCCCTAAAAGGGTGTGTGCTCCTGTAATGAGATTTTGAGCCACCAAACTTTGTTTTTCTAGGGTTAGGCGATGGAGATGGGGATTCTTCCCCAGATCCATTTTCTTTCTCTTTTCTATCTTATTAACTTTTCTGTTTCATTCTTTTGCACTCTTCTATGTCTTTTATCATTCCTTGCATCATGTAGATTTGTCCCAGAAAGTCAAGTTGTTTGAAGATTTCGATAGGCATACATATCGATTAGGATTTCTAAGTTTCTAAACCATATTCTGGATCTCATATCTTCTAAGTTGTTCATATTGCATGAGAGTAGATTCATGACCTATTCTCTGAGCCTAGGATCGATCAGAGCCACGAGAGTGCTGTATCAGATCATCCATACCTAACTTCAGAAGAACATAGTTGCTGTAGGAGTCGAGAGCTACCTATAGAGAAGATGTGAGCAGACGAATTCAATGTCTAATGCATGATCTTATTTCTGGCATGAGAGCGAGAGTTAATTGTTAGATCTGAGTGATTAATTTATTAAGATGGCGAGAGTTGGTTAATCATACACATTTATATTCTAGTTCCATGCAGATCCCAGAAACAGATGAAGATAAATCGCCCGGAAGCTAATTCGAAATGCCACCAAACATCGATTAGACTAAACTGGAGAAGTCTAAATCGCCACCTATGAGTTTAGAGTCTATAGTTTAAGTCGATATGCTTGAGATATTCTTTTAACAATTCATATGCATTGCATCTTATTTCTTGTAAATATTAGATTAGGTTTAGTTTAGGATTCTTAACCAAAAACCACAAATCCCATAAGTTTTTGACTTTGCTTATTTTCCCAGTTTGTTGATTAGACATATTCCCTGTGAATCGACACCCTAAATTATACAACTTACATTTGTGCACTTGCAGACACTAAAGTTTTATAAATTAAAATTTTTTGAAGACCAATGGGCTTGTTAAAAAACAAATCCTAGACCCGCAAGTCCATCAGCTCTCAAAGTTTGTCATATCATCCTCATAAGATACTCCTTGCTGACATTGAAGATCAATAGCTACTTCGATGTTTTAGAGCTTCCAATTAGTGATTCCTTCTTCTATGAGTTATCAGCGCTTTTGCAACAGTTGAATGGATCAGTATTCCCAAGTTTTATGCAGCCGCGGATACCCATTATTTCGATCAGTTTTCCCAGTGGTGTCCATCAGTCATACCAGAAGAAGGTTGTTAAATCGTTTTGTACTTCAATATGAGCTGCCTACGTACCCAAAAGAGGGATCAAGCCATTCGTAGTTCATATTACAGAAAGAATAAGAAAAGATGTATTCTATGTCTTCTGCAGAGTTGTGAATCAATCCTTGAATGAACGATAAGCTCTTTATTTATAAAGGTTGAAGCCGGTCGATTTTCCTTTTCCTCCTTGACTTGATAATGCAGATTTCCTTATTTCTTGGAGCAGATAAGAACAACTTCCTTTTTCCTTGAGGAATTATCTTCTCGGAATATTTCCTTTTTCCGGATAAGATCAGGAAATATTCTGCGGATGAACCATCATAAATCGGGATTAATTGGGCCAATCTTGGTTCATACCGGGCTAAACCGGGGGTGCGGAGTACACCTCCAACAGTAAGCCCCCCCCTCAGTCCGGCGAAAGAGTATATGTAGGAGTTCGGCGGATTTCGTAAGTACTTTTAGTCTGGTGTGAACTGAGATTGGTAGATTCTTGCGAGGCTGTTAGCTCGGCTTATATGAGTTTCGACTTAGTCTATTGCGAATTGCGATAATTCGGCTTACATTTGCGAGTGTTGTGAACTCAGCTTACGGTGCGAATCTGAGGTGTTCGGCTTAATTTGTGCGAGTTAAATGAACTCGGCCTGGGGGACCCAAGTGAGCTTTCTCGTGCTGGAAGAGTGAAGTTCGAACTCTTGTAAACACACGATACGGACTCAAGGTTTCCTAAGTCGAACCAGAGTGTGCGAGATGGGCTCGGCTTATTGTTCTCGGTGACTTAGGAATAAGTAATGCGGGACTGGCCCCGGCTTTAAAAATTGTGGATTCTTTCACCACGGCGCCATGTGGACGCTTGCGAGATGGATCTCGGTTTTTTAAGGTTGCATTGTTGAGAAATGCTATCGAACAACTGGCCAGGAAGTCGATGTAATACCGATGAGTTCGGTTGGGACTGCGAACATGTCAGTTCGGCTTGGAGGGACGGACCCTGAATTTTAAAGGAGCTCGGTTGATGAGCTAGAAGAGGTTTGAGCGTGGTATAGCTCGGGAGAAGAGTGTATTCTGAGATTCAGGGTCCTCGGAGCGTGAGCTTAAGTGGGAGCTCGGAGCTCGTTTTTAGAAACAGCTTTGGAGAAGCATGAGTTTTTGTGGGAGCTCGGAGCTCATCTATGGAAAGCTTTAGAGAAGCGTTCTCTTTTTCTTTCTTTTTTGCGAACAGTAGTTCGGCTTGAGGGACGGACCCTGTAACTTAGCAGAATGGAGAATATTTTTGAATAAGACAAAGATCTCGATAAATGATACATGGGTTTCGAGGAGCTCAGTTTGACGAGCTAAGTATAGCTTTGAGAGATTGGTAAGTAACTTTGGATGTGAGCGGAAGCGGAACGAGATCGGTGAAAACAAAATTGGAATGAGTTCGGTGAGTATCCTTCTATGGAGAGCTCCATGCGGTTTTCTGCTTATAGCCTTGTCAAAGCAAGCAGGTTCTTGACTATATGTCGTTATAATGGCATTCGTGCACCAAATCGTCCTAGCCGGAGCTGATACTTTTGTAATCCTTTTGGTGTGGGATTGTGGAGCTCGGCTCTTTGATGTTCAACCCTTGTTAGAGCGAAGATTGGTTTTTAGATTCTGGTAAAGAGCTGGTGAAGCCGTGCGGCGAGCTGAGATGGTGATGGTATCGGCTGGAATAAATCTTCTTAATCTCAGTGAAGTATTTCTGGGATGTCATCATGTATTGAAACTTGGGAATTGTTGCAATCTCTGAAGTTTTCCGAGCCTAGAATGAAATCTCTTGAGTTCGGTGATGGAGCAATGTGCGTGGATTACTCTGCGAAATCGAGAATCGGAGGCAGCCTGTGTTCTTCGCCATGGTTGCTGAAGTGAGAAAGAGGAGAAGATCTCGGGGGATTTTTTGTAGGCATCGAAGCAGACAGATGAGACGGCTCTGGTCGGAAAAGTAGTAATTCACCGGAAGATGCAGGATGGTGAATAGCGGCGACGATGGCGGAGCTTTGGGAAGCTCGAAGCGATGGACCTGATATGATCGGAAAGCAGAGATAACGTCGAAGCTCGGAGTGAAATTGATTTTTCGCGGAGTGCTGATTCTGGTTCTGGGTGGAGCTGAGTTTTCGAAACAGCAAATTGCAGAAATTCCAATCAGATCTTTTCATCTCTCGATGAGTTCATGGTGAGATTGTGAACTGCTCTTTGAGTTAGGATGATCTGAGACAGAGCTGTGGGCGTGGTGTTGCGACGATGGCGGACGATGGAACTCAGAGTGAGGTATCCCATAGCCCCTACTCCCTCCTTTTTTTTTTTTTTTTTTTTTTTGGAAAACAAAAGAGCTTGGCTGCTTCCTTCTTATTTATGTTGAGCTTGATGTCTGATGAGTTCAAAATGAGTTCGTGAAATGCCCTTTAAAGATTGGAGTCAGGATCTGTGAAACCGTTCTCCACATGGGTTTGAGCTTGCTCTTGAATAGAATTTGTTCATGGGCGAACAAGTTAAACCGTAGGCTGGGGTACTTCATGTTTTGGTCTTTTTATCATCTCCAGGGCATAACAACACTTAGGTGATCATGGCGGTGGAATGACTTTCCTCTGTTTCTTGAATCGGTGAATTGGTGGAGGTGTTGAAGATTGATGAACTGAGATAGAGCTGTGGGAGCTCGTTTTTGCAAATGCCGAGCTAACGAGCTCAAGCGAGGCCGACGAACTCGAGCAGAGTTCACAAGGGGATGGACTGACTTGGTGACCTTTCCTCGTAGGGTGGGCTTGTTAGTTGAAGATGACTTTTCCTCTCTTTTTTTTTAACAAACGAGCTTTGTCTTTGAATGAAAAGCGCATTGGCGATAGGAGAGATGCAGATATCGTCGGCTCGAGTCAAAAACAAAGAAAAGTCAGACCATAAGTTAGTCAATTTCCGATCAAGAAGCGTGAGAGATAATGACATAATCTTAAACCAAGATGATTAACGTATTGATTCAACTAACGATATCAATTCAAACAAATTAATGAAAATATGTGACTATGTATTCTGATTCACGATGTCGTTTTTTATAAGGGCTAAAATATGACGAGAGTTAGAGAGATTAGAAATCCACTTAATTATAGTTATACTCGTTATGCAGCCGTAATTTTTGACCAAACAAACCAGGATGAATCGAACTAGCAAAAGATTCTTTTATCAATTATTAACTAATGATTCTGAGTCCATGTATTCAATAAGCCTGAAAAAGTATGAGAGGATAAGTATAATTCTAAACACTTATCTTTGATTGATAACGGATGACGTTGAGATTCGGAGATCGGCTATTTGAAGAAGACGTTGTCGGCGTCAAAGATCCATGTTGGTCATAAGAAATCATAATCGATGGTCTTAGTTGGTAGAAGCAACGAGAGAGATCGGAGATACTGTCATCATCGATTTAGGTTTTTTTTTTTAATTTTCGTCCCCCTACCTGGCGCGCCAATTGTTGATACCGAGTATCACACAAAGAATTTAGAGATTTTATTAAAGTTATAGCTGAACTCAATATGAGCTGCCTACGTACCCAAAAGAGGGATCAAGCCATTCGTAGTTCATATTACAGAAAGAATAAGAAAAAGATGTATTCTATGTCTTCTGCAGAGTTGTGAATCAATCCTTGAATGAACGATGAGCTCTTTATTTATAGAGGTTGAAACCGGTCGATTTTCCTTTTCCTCCTTGACTTGATAATGCAGATTTCCTTATTTCTTGGAGCAGATAAGAACAACTTCCTTTTTCCTTGAGGAATTATCTTCTCGGAATATTTCCTTTTTCCGGATAAGATCAGGAAATATTCTGCGGATGAACCATCATAAATCGGGATTAATTGGGCCAATCTTGGTTCATACCGAGCTAAACCGGGGATGCGGAGTACACCTCCAACAAGTATTCCCAAGTTTTATGCAGCCGCGGATACCCATTATTTCGACCAGTTTTCCCAGTGGTGTCCATCAGTCATACCAGAAGAAGGTTGTTAAATCGTTTTGTACTTCAACTTTGGAAAGAGATGCTGTCAACTCTCTGTGTTTAAGCAGCTTCTTTCATGTCCATGAACCAATAGATGACTTGTCCGGAACCGACCATAAGGAACCTTGCTGGATCAATGATCCAATTAATGAGTTAAAGCCTCCTGGCAAACGAGAGATATCTACACGTCCATCTCCTGATACGTTTGCGAGTTCTTTTTAGAAGAGGTGTGTAATCATTTACTGCCATCCTCTTAGTCAATATAGGTAGCCTCAAATACCGAACCCTTGGTCTTTCAAATTCTAAGTGTTAGACATCGTGTTTCAATACTAGGTTGCATAATGCGATAAACAATTAAGATTCACGTGTTCATGTCTAATGTCTTCATCGAAAAGAAGCATATAGTTAATAGACCTCATCATCCTCATCACCTCCGTCTCCACCTACTTCTACGTCCTATCCTCCCATAATTATTTTGATCACACAAAAATCTAATGTGAAAATTTAAAGAACCATAATAAAATGCCCTCATATTATGTCAAAAGAAGATATAATATTGAAAAAAATTCTCTTCTTGATATTAAACGTTAATAATACAAAGGTATTTGTACCAAATTAACTATCTTATCTCAACATGAGATTAGATTTATCATACCTTATCTTAATCTTTTGATATATATCTATAAATCACAAAAATCTTATCATAATAAGATGTTTACAAGAGTGTTTTCTAGTTTAGACTTCACGGGTTTCACTTTTTGAAATTTAACGATCTAATATATTTTCTATGCAAGGCAGCAAGCTATACATGTTGCAGAGCAACTTTTTTAGTCCATCAAACCTCCGTTATAAAGTAAAACCCGTGAAAGTTAAACTAAAAAATATTCTGTGAAGATTATATTGTGATAATGTTTTAGTGATTTATATATGAATAGAAGGATAAGTTTCAATCAATTATGATAACTTTCTCTCATGTCAAGATAAGATCAATGATCTAATATAAATATTTGTGTATTACTAAAGTTTAAGACCAAGGAGAAAGTTTGAGAATATTGTTTCTCTTTTAAACATTGTATCAGAGGTTTTTGATTCAGATGTTAAAACCTAAACAGTTATACCGGCAAGACTCATAATACCTTTTTAGTACATAGAGTAAGAACTAAAGGATTATAAATACACAACATTTACTACAATTCCTAAAATTACATGAACTCAGTAAAATTTCAAATTTACTACATAAAACAAAAAAATAATTAAAATTAAACCATCAAATGGACAAATGTGAAAGTGTGTGAAATGAGAGTTAGTTTTGATGCTAGCATCTGACAAGGAGGACACATGATCGGATCAAAAAGAGGACACATCTGGATGTTTTTAAGATCGATTAATTTCTAGCAAAAATATATTTTTATTGTGTTAAACTATATTCTCGATATATATTGTTTTCTACGGCACTTGTATACTTCTTTCTCTATATATAATATATATATACATATATATAATGAATCAATATTATTTATATCTTTAAGATCGATTAATTTATAGCAAAATTTTATTTTCTTAGGCTAAACTATATAATTTAATTCACCATATCTATATCCTTCTCTAACATTTCGCTATGTATATTAAATTTGCAAGACAAATATACAAGCAAAAATATACATTTATGAGCTCGACCGGTATTTACAAGAGAGATAAGATGTACTCACATTATGTATTGTCCAGAGGTTTGTGACTGAAATTGCACAACTCATATAAAACTCGTAAGTCCAGTGACTTTGAATAACACTAGGCATATCCACAAACGAAAAAATGAAACATATAAAAAAGAGGAGTTCGTGAAATGCTAATCAAGCTTACGAGAAAAATAAATCATGGATGGTGTTCATTATATTCATAATCATAGGAAACTATGAAATCCGATAATACATTTCTCCAAAGAAATTCCAACTAAATCCACCAGAACAGTTTTACGATATAGCAGAGATTTTATCCTCACAGAAAAAAAAAATGAAAACAGGAGATGAGCATGAGAGAATTACCTATGTTATGGAGAAGCAGAGATCCAGTGGACTCTATCGATCATCATTAAGCTCGATAAGACCCACCAAGAATAACAAACCAAAAGTAATCATAACAATAACTAACAGATTGTAATCAGGTTTTGATTCAGAGTGGAGTTTTATGCTTACATCAGGGAGCTTCTGTGGTATTCACCTGGGAATGATTTTTGCTCTCTCTGATTGTAGTTTCTTATGCTTCTATGCATATAGTTTTCTTTTTTTTTGGTTGGTGAGAGAGAGGCTGCGAAACTAGGGTTATTTTCTCTTAGGTATTTAAATGAAATTTGCATGTGTTTCTTTAAAACAAATTTGGTAATTGGTCAATTAGATTTGCCATTTTGTCAATTAGATTAGATTTGTTTTTGAATTTACAAAATCCTGGCTATCTTTCCATAATATTAATCAATTTAAACTTATTTTCATCCAAAAAGGTTATCTTTTATCCTGGCTTTGGATAACTTTTAGTTACAGAGTTGACTACACTTTATTTTGTTGTAATTTATTGAAAAATATATTCAAAGGTAATGACAGAACATAATTTCATAAATTCTTACAGAAGACTTTAAAATCACAAATTCTTTAAAAAAATTAAAAGTAAAATAAACTGGAATATTAAAAAATTAGAAAAAATCAAATATATTGTTGAGGAAATTTGATTTATTATATTTTTTAAAAACTACAACATTTTTTAGAATCTTTGAAAACTAATTTTTTATTAGGTAAATGACAATTATACCGTCGAATTTTGAGAATAAATTATAAATAATATAATGATTAGTTTTATTTTTTACTATCAAAACAAATATATATTGTAAATATATTCAATAATAATATTATATAAACTATCTAATAACAACATAAATTATTTTAGTTAAAAATTTATATTTTGACTCAAAGAATTTTTTTACATATATTCGAATTAACTCTTATTCTTATTATTACTATACTCAAATAATATATATATATATATATATCACCCATTTTACAATAAAATTTTACAAAAACACGTTTTGAAGCCCTAAAAGCACCTCCAATGAAAGCTCTTAAGTGGAGCGTTCTTATTTTTGTACATAAAAATAAATAAAAATGTAATTTGGAGAAGCTCAAGTTAAGAACGGTTCTATAAACAGAGAACTTTAAGAACTTTATGGTTGTGTGTCGCATTGTGGTTGGTCAAAAGATTTTTTCTGTTTTTTTTTTTTTTGAAAAAAGTTTTTGTATATGTTTTTATGTTATGTATGTTTAAAATTTTATGAAAATATAATAATTTTTAAGTTATAAAATAATTATAAATTTAAACAAGTAAATTCTACTTAAAATTTTATAATCTTTTAAAATAATTTTTATTTATTTAAGAATTCTTATTAAAAAGGTTCATAATTTTAATTTTTTCAAAATTAATATTAAAACTTATGGTAAAACTATTGGAGATGGTCTAAATTCATGCAAACTGATGTGTTATCATAAACATTTGCATTCACACTGTCTAATATATATATATATATATATATATATATATATATAGTATTATTTGAAAAGTTAAAAGCTTGTTTTTGATAACAAAAACAACAAAATCTTTTATAGTTCTTGATCGAGGTCTTTGGTCAATAACAGCTTTCTTGCTTAAATCGGTAATTCTTTTAAAATGTTTGTTCTTTATTTTATGGTCTTCGCTTCTTCGGTTTGTTTAATAGACATACTGTAAACAGAAAATTTATCGTATTTTAGTTTCACCTACAAAATTCTAAAAACTTGTTTTTAGGTAAACACAATCCTCTTGTAACATAGCATATAAAAA